AAATCAATCCTCAAATAAATAAGCTCATATTAATACAATTTGGTATGATTAGATCTATATTTTTTCAAAGTAGATTCCTAGAAGCAGAACTTCTTAGCCAAAATTAAGGGCATATATTCTTCAATCTTTCAGTCACTATGTCATCCATATGCCTATAGGACTACCTGATAGTTAATACAAGTCCTTGATCGCTATGCAACTGACTAAACTACAACTCTTAATTTGTATAATTTTCAAAAAATGTATCTTTCTTAGCACATACAAAGTACATTGAAATTAGGAACTAATCTTGCATAATTTATTCCTTTTCAAGGCTCAATAAATGCTATTATAATGTGTCAACAGCCCCTAGTGAAAGTAGTAATCATATGTTACATTTGCAGGCCTATTAGCTCAGGTGCACTGCACCAGTGAGTTCATGATCACCAGTAGAGAGCAGGAAATTCAAGAACTCTAGCAGTGACATAATAAGTACTTATGTAATATTCTCATTTACCCAGGGCTTTTTATTTTTCAGAAGTCTTTCAAGTATTTTCATCTTTGTATCAACTGCTCCACTAGGATAGTGTGACCAAATGTCAAATAAATTATAACATTTGTGTAGTTAAAAAGTCCTTTAACTGTGTTAGCTCATTTGAATCTCAGACTAGCCTTGTCAAACAAGCAGGATATATATGTATATTTATGTTAAATATATATCCATTGAGGAAATTGACACTAAGAAAAGTTAAATGCTATCCTGAGGTCAAACATCTACAAAATAGTGTGGGGATAGCTGGCCTTGAGACTCCAGTACTCTATAGATTTCACAATTAACTCATGAACCAAGAGAGATAAATTACTTGATTTATATTTTGAAATCAAAAGATTTCATTGGACTGGATTCACACCTGAAATCCTAGTTACTCAGGAGGCTGAGATCTGAATATCATGGTTCAAAGCCAACCCAACCAGAAAAGTTTGTGAGACTCATCTCCAATTAACTACCAATAAACTGAAAGTGGGCCTATGTTTCAAATAGTAGAATTCCAGGTCTTGAGTGAAAAAGCTAAAGAGCACTGAGGCCCTGAGTTCAGTACCAACACACACACACACACACACACACAGAGAGATTCCATTGGGGCCAATGTTAGAATCACAGCGTAAATATCTGACTATCTATAAACTATATTATTTAAGTGCTGAATAGTAGTAAAGAGAAACACATTCTGAATATATGTAGGTTCCATTGCCACTCCAGGCAAAGACGTGACAGAATGAGCACTGGTTTTGAAGCCAACTCAGTTTACATTCTGGATTTTCTACTTTGTAAGAGCTGGACCTTTGTAAATTATTTAACCATAGGTTTTTTTTTATCTCTAAATGGTTATTGAAGAGATATTGAAAGGATTAAGAATCATTTCATCTGTGATAGCCTCCCACAATCCCTGTCCCGAAGATAAATGTATTTTTCTCTCCTCTAGTGGGCAATCCATTTCCTTCAGAGCACTTGTCACAATTTAGAATTCTATTTACTTTTATATGTATTTGTTTCAAGCTGTCTCTTCTCCTGGGATATGTGTCATGATGCTAGGTAGGCTCAGCATGCTTGTGCTGCTTTTGTGTCTCTAGTCCCTACACCAGTATCATTAATCACTGATTAAATATTTCTGGAATGAATCTTGACTCTTCCTTGAACTTATTTTTACTTTAGCCACATAGAGTGACCTACAGCTCCTCTGTGCTTTCTCATCTCTCATCTTTCCACATCTTTCTCATCGCTCATTTCTCATCTTTACACATGTTATTTCCTTTGCCCAGTCCAGAGAATTCTTGCTCATCTTTTGAGCCCTAGCTTACTTTCCTGTAAGGGATTCTTTACCGTCTTCCCTTGGAGAAAGAAGAGGAAGAATCATTGGTATATTCGACTAATTTTTTTAGGAATCTACTGTGTGCAAAGCATGTGCTGAGAAAATAACAGTGAATAGGAGCTCTCACTCTTAATGTGAGATGTAGACCATAAAAACTAAGCAAATAAATAATTGCATTCCCAATTATAGGAAGCTGGCTTTTGAATTGAGATCTGGAAGGTAGGAAGGAATTAGGAAGTGGGTGCAATAGAGGATTTGCACCCTACTGTGACCACTTACTTGAGCCATCCCTTTTTTCTACCCCACCTCACCCACCCTGACTTCCACTAGATCAGCCTCTGAACTCCATGAGTGTCTGTTAGCCCAGAAGCCTCTTCCCTCATAGCTGAACATGCTCTTTCCCTAGACAACACCAGGCCCATGTAGTAAAGCCCCTACCCTCTTTCCCTGAGAGATCACCTCTTTGGGATAGCTATGATCATATTAGGCAGCCAGATCCCCCAGATCCCAGAGGTTATAAAAGGTCACCTAGTCAATAGCAGGCACTTGTCACTTCCTCTCACCTGGTGAAAAGGGGTTTTGCTGGTCTCTACTAGCAATAAACCTTTCCTTTGTTCTTTGTTCCTGGATTGTCCACATGGTTTTCTGGCTGAGTCTATTTTACTCTAACCATATCTGTATCTCCAGTACCTTACACAAGCTCAGAATGTCACAACACAGGTTCATCATGGAAATAAAACTTACCAGAATTGCCAGGTTCCTAGCCCACGATTCTAATGTCATATATCTGAAGTACAGACAGTGCAGAGAGCAGGCTCCCAACTTAAAATTCACTCTCACAGTTATTACCTTGTAATATTAAAAAGGTTATTCAGTTTCTCTGTGACTCAATTTCCTGATCTTTAAAGTGAAAAATAACAATAAGACTTCATAGAATTACTTTGAGTACTAAATCAGAAAATGCTCTAGAAATTGTTAGCCCAGAACCTGGCACGTGGAAAGTAGTCAATAAAGTGTTGGCAGGAATGCTTTGGTACTCATGTGGTGTTTATTGAATAAATGAATGAATTAGGGAATAATGAAGTTTAATTCTAACTTTAGTAAGCAAAACAAGGTCTAAACAAAAACTGAATACTCATTCATATTCAGCTATCTTCTTTATTGTGTATTTTAGTTTTAACAAGAAAGAAAAAGGAAAGAAAAAATCCAAAACCAGTGATTTTAGCACCCAGTCTATAACTATTGACTTCATTTGATTACAAAGAGTCTGTGAAAGCATCTCATATCGTTTGATTCATTTTTTTTCTGAATAGTTCAAGGCTTTCATGTTCTTGCCGTAAGCTTCAAATAAAAAACACACACAAGTCACCAACCTTGCGGGTCTCCTGCACTCTGTAGTTTGTCATCTTTAAAATACCAGTTTGAGTACTTTGTACTGAAAGGGACTTACTTCATGCATCCTCTACTTCATGTACCATAGGAGGTCTTCAGAAAGTCATACAAGGTATGACAACACCAGATAACAATTTTCCTAAGTCAGAGGCACCAGTGTGATTAGCCTATGATATTACTTTTACTACACAAAATTACTGCTAAGACCATTTCAGCAAACCTTTAATAGTTAGCAAATTCTACCACCCTCCTCACTGCTGGAAAACCTTACATACCAAAACAGCATAGACAAAGATGAAAACATTAACAAACTTTCATAATAATGCCTAAGGCATTTAACAATTCTTTCTCTTTGATATTTTTATTGGAAGACATTGGAATCCCGATAGTTTTTTTATTTATTTTTTTCCATTAGCTACAGGAAGATTTATTCAAATAAAATGTCACAAGACAATACACAAATCTGTGTCTACATATGGATGTATACACATATATATTGAACCTAACTAAAGTTTAATAAGCAATACTGATAGTTTTTTTTAAAATAAACACTAAGTATATGGTTACTTGGAAGTGTTTTGATGCATGAGTTCTATTAAGGAAAAAATGTACCAGGACAATTATATTAGATATTTTTCCAAATGATCTTTTCCATGAGTTATATTTATTAACACAAGTTCTTATCAATCTGGCCAAGACATTTTAGAAAGTATCACCTGCTTTCAATGTTATAGAAAACAAACTATGCTATCTCAGATAAGGAAATAATTAGCAAACAATGTCTCTTTTCTTTTGAATATTCATGGCATTTTTTCAGGGGTTTTATTCACAACTAAATGCACAATAAATTTATCATGTCTGGAGGTGTTGAAATCTGTTGTATGTTTCGTAAATGTAGATATGTACACACCTGTCATTTCAGAAATCCTTAAAAAAGAGTTGTATTCACTGATTGGTTGCTCTGACAGTGTGATGGGTTAGAGACCCTTGCAGGGATAAGTTGTGATTATTGGGGGTGATGAGATAAGCATCTACATTTTAGTAGTGGTACAATGCTAAACAGTCAAGAGCACTGGAGATACTGTCATAGTTTTTATATGTTAATAGAAGGGAGATTTCTGAAACGGTGAGGAAATTTGCCATGACAAATGCATTCCCTTTGCTGCACTTCTAGCATGGCACCAATTAAACTCAACTCTATGTATAATGTTTTCTTAATTCCCAACAGTCTCAAAAAGGATAAATGTGAAAAATATTATATTGTCCTACATTTTGCAGGTCATGAACAGATGGAAAAAATTATGCTGATTCATAAAGAAATTAATGCACACTATAATACAACTCATAATAGTATTGTCCGTGGATTTTTTTCTTGTTTAAAATCTTAATGTTACCTAAGGCAAAACTTATTAGCTGAATTTTTTGTAATGCTGTATCTGTAATTCATTTTAATTTATTACCTATGCAAATACAAATGTTTGGAAGTATAGGTAACCTTGCAATGAGCAAAACTGATAAAAAGGTTGTGTCCAATGAAAGAGAAATTATGGAATGATTATTCACTTCACAAAAGGGTTTGTCATAGGGCAAGCTTTCTTAAAGCATTTCAAATCTAATTTATAAAACATTCACTTGGACACATTTCAGGAACAAATTTAGTGAGGAAATGGGAGCAATCTTCATAATAAGATAGAGATCCCTTACACCACTGACATTAATTTCTCTCTCTCCTTCTCGCTCTTTCTCTGCCCTCTACAGCACTGATAGCCATTGGGCGATACAGCATGACAATAGAGACTGTGGATGTTGGATGGTGTAAAGAAATTACAGATCAAGGAGCCACCCTGATTGCACAGAGCAGCAAATCTCTGAGATATTTGGGACTGATGAGATGTGACAAAGTAAGAGTTGTCTATCAAGTTGTTTTCTACCTGTCAGTAGAAGGCATAGCTTGAATACTGCCTTTTCTTCCTTGTCCTATGTATACACACACACACACACATTACTATAGCTATTCATTGTTGGCATGATTTTCTAAACTAGTCTAAAATTGTTTTTGCATTTTTCTGATTAATAATAAATTTCATGCTTAAGAAGAATGAAAAAGTAATCATACACAGTCATCCTAGATTTTAGCCTCCTAGTCATAAGTCTATGGACTAAAATTTTAAAATTTTCATGGCAAACTTCAATTTGGAGAAACTAACAATAAAACTCTATTCTGAAATCCAGATTTCCAGCAACAATAAGGTAGAATGAGCAGTGCTAAATTGATTTTTCTGGTGTGTAATTTCAGTGCTCAACATGTATGGATTCTGGACATTTGAGGAATGGAGGGTGGGTGTGGTATGTAGAGATCTGTATCTTTATTCACATTAGCTTCCTCTCACCACATCATGAGAAGTGGCCCTAGAAGACTGTGGGCTTCCCAGCAATATGTGTGTGAGTTGGGAAATGGTACCACTTAACATGGGATCTTTTGAAGGCTGAAAAGAAAGATAATTTAATAATCTGTATAGAGCACTAGGTACTAGATAAGTATTTTTCTTTTTGCGATTCCCATGCTGTCCCTCTGATAGATCTAAATAAATCTGGTTATTTGCATTGTGAAGGTGAGAAAGTGGAGAACAAGAAATATCAGTGTTTGGTCAAAGACTATTCAGCTAAGGTCTCTGAAGTCTTTGTGTTTCTGGCACAACGCTGGGAACAATCTTCAGTCATATGGCTTGCTTGCATGGTAAAGCCCTCCCTCAGACACTTGCAAAGAAAGTGCTCACATCTTAACACTAATTTACACATGTACTACTTTTGCAATGGTGATTAGGGACAAATCTAGCAAAAGAATATGAAAATAAGTACACATTGCCTCTCAAAGGCCAGGCATTTTCTAAATGTAGCAAATTGAGGGAAAAAAGAAGAATGGCCTGAATCCCTTGTATGCTATATCATTTTGCTAATTGATCTAATTCTTTGTTCCAGATGTTTTAAAATGCCAATTTATTCTAGACTTATGCTAGTTAAGTTTTATTTCTTTCTTTTAATTTTGTTTTTATTGTAAAGGTATGTCTAAAGGGGTTACAGTTACATAGGTTAGGTAATGAGCACATTTCTTTTTGAACAGTGTCATATCTTGCTAGTTAAATTATGTTTTAGAGGTTTTATTATATAAAATCTAACCTAAGCTAAAATGCTACTTCCTTTGTAGCTTAGCACAATGCTGAGACCCAGGGTTTACAAGTCTCCCTCAAATCTCATTGCTAGTATTAATGCTGCTACTAATCCTACCATTCCAAATGGTATCTATTAAAGTAAGTTAAAGGCACTGGTGCTGGTGACTCACACCTGTAATCCTAGCTGCTCTTCAGGAGGCTGAGATCTGAGGATCACTGTTCAAAGCCAGCCCAGGCAGGAAAGTCCACGAGACTCTTATCTCCAATTAATCACCAGAAAACTGGAAGTGGCACTGTGGCTCAAGTGGTAGAGTACTTGCCTTGAGTTGAAGAGCTCAGGGGCAGTGCCCAGGCCCAGAATTCAAGCCCTACAACAAAAACAACAACAACAACAACAACAAAAAGTAAGTTAAAGAGTACTGCTATAGAATACTCTAGAAACACAAAACAATGACAGCAGTGCTAGCTTAGTTTCCATCAGAAACAAATGTTTCTAACCAAGGATACCACATGTAAGTTTTCCAACATATTTATGATGCCTTCACTATTCTAAGAATTTACCATTTTTCTGTCCCTTCCTCTTTAGATTTAGTGTCAGCTCCACCTTCAAAGATGAACTGTCCAAGTTGTATTATTTTGTTAGTACAGAAGACTTTTCCAGACATAGTTGTTGCATAGAATTTTGCTGATTTTTAAGTTAAGGAATTTAGATCTGTTTTTACCCAAGTACAAATTAGTCCAAATGAAATAAAGAGGCTATCCTAATTAGTGGTCTCCCTACAGGTCATAGTCCCTTCCTTGGGCAGCATCTGAATCCTATTACCAGCCAGGAAGCTGCTCTGAGAACCTCGTATTTCCAACGTGATACTGTCTGGCCATGGCCTGGTGCAACACAGCCAGCCCAAGGGGCCCAGCCTTGCTGTCTGGTTTTCTGAGACTCTAGTCAGCTCAGAGCCAATCTGAGAGGTTCCATGAGGACAGAGATATTTCCAAACCACGTACAAAGTACAAGTTAAGCCTTGCACAGAAAGTTCTACTTACTGGTTTAGTTGGATGAAAATCCAGATTAAAGAAGCTATTGAGCCTTCAAATTTTACATCTCTATATTTTAACTTATCATCAAAAATTTTAAAGAAAGACTGAGTAGAGAAGAAAAGAACTTAACATGAAAGCACCTCTTCTTGAATCAGTGTTTAGCTTCAAGTCTTGGCTCCACATTTATTATTTGTGTAATTTAGTAAAGTTTTTTTACAAGAAAGAAAAGAAGAGGAAGGAAGGAAGGAAGGAGATTAAAAAGGAAGGAAGGAGAAAAAAGAGGGAAGGAAGGGGACAGCAGAATGGAAGAAGGTGAGAGGGAAGCAAGAAAGTAGGGAGGGAGAAAAAGAAGGAGGGAGAGAAAGGAGAGAAAGGAAGAGAAGGAGGGAGAAAGGAAAGGAGGGAGAGAGAGGAGGAAAAGGAGGACCTAGTAAACCTGTATCTATCTTGTATAATTGTGAATATGTAAGTTAGTTAACATATGTAAAGCACTCAGAATAATGTCCATTGTATAGAAAATACTCTTCCTTATTATTCCTACCATTAATATCATGTATTAACATGTGCCATAGCATTTTAATTTCCAAATGAGGAAAAAATATTTTGTCTGCTCTCTCATTTTAAAAGAATTGAAAAAAGAAGAGGATAAACTCAGAAGATGACTTTATAGTTTTCTCCATAAAAATTTAAAATTAAAATTATTATCTTCTTTACAAGGATATCAATCATTTTTTGAGCTTTCTGCATGGTTTATCAAGGAAAATGAATGGCTCCAACAAGACACTACATATTTGGAATCAACTTACTAGTCATCTTACCTACTCAGGCACAGAGTTGAAGAAAGATTTACAATACTAGAAATCTGTGAATTGCAGATAATATTCACATAGGTAAAGTAAGAGAAAGTAACAAGAAAAATAAAGGCAAAAATAAAAATAGAAACAAGGAAGAATGAAACTAGAATTAGTATGTAGACAAAATTGACTATTTTTCGGCCTATAGTTATCAATGGCAACTAAGAATTAAAAAGCAAAAGTAATTTGGGGCCTATCAATGTTTCTTGCACCTTGACTTGCTCTTGCTAATCACTAATAAAACTCATCAATTTGAATTCTCTCCACATTCTGTGCACCAGCTAGAGTTAACTGTGGGGCAAGTGATCTTATCCACACAACCATCTCACCAAAATGTCACTGGCCCTTCACTGGAGAGAGATGAGGTTATGATGTGTGCATTTCCTAGCACTCATGTTCAAAACATGAGTTACAGAACTCATGTTCTTTTGTTTGTTTGTTTGTTTGTTTTTAGAACTCATGTTCTTAAAGAACATGAAATATTGGAGAAATATTGAGGTCTAATTGTATTTTCTTTCATTTGGGGCCACTTTTAATTTGCAGGCTATACTTTACCCAACTGGTGCTTTTATTTTTCCTCCAACTTTTTGAGGAATTGCAAATCAATAAAATGGTTTTTACTTGTAGGAAAACCTACCCATACCATGTATGTGTGCGTGTGTGTGTCCCTTCCAGCTTAGGTAAACAGAAAACACAGGTAAAATTTTTAAACATGTTCAGCTGAAAGCATTATGTCCTTGGATTATCAAACCTCATTTAAGCTAAACTTCATACATTTGTTTGGCTGCAACATTGCTGATTTCTAGGGAGGAATCCTCTGGTCATGGAACAAATCAGCGTCCTCCCATGCACTGTAAAGTTAGGAAATGAATTAAGTTCCTGTCTGAGTAGCCTTTCGGATTTCAGGGTGGATACGCATGTTAAAGGGTTTTGAGGCTGATGCCAAGTAATCTTGTGAAACCTTAAATTCATTGTAAGAATCAAGAGTAGAAATCACTGTGTGAGATGGCTTTGATGAATCGGAGTGAGCTTATATTCTTAAAGACAGTTCAAAGGCTTACTTGACCTTGGGAATTAGAGTTGACCTGAAATCACCTATCAGTTTATTGAGTGGTTTAGTTAAAAATACTTAGATAATCAATGGCACTCTAATAAGTGCAGTATGTTTACTCTGCTTTCCCCAATTATAGACAGTAGTAGCTTTGGTCATATAAATTATTTTCATGACTTCAGTGAATTCTGGCCTCTATGGATCTGTTTCTTCTAATAATTTATTTTTCTCATTTCTTACAAGGTAGTTTTAGATGGAGAATAAAACTGCAAAGAACAAAAAAAAATCATGGAAAGCTGGAGGGCAAAATGGAAATGCAACTTTCAAGGTTAATGAAAAATGTTTGGGGTAACAAGGTTGATGAGAAGGAGGGAGCGCAGACATGGCATTGGCTGAGAAGCTAGACCTCGCCAGGGGCAGCCTGGCTGGTTTGGGGAACTTCTACAGCATGTGTTAATACTGGTTTGGAGACACAGGGCCTGAATTATGAGCAGTGAATAACATCATAAACGTAGCAATTCTCAAATGCCAACCCCTTGTGAAAAGCAGTTGGATAGAGAAATGCTGGAGCTTTTAAAAGCTCCCTTTCACTTTCTATTTTTTTTTAACTTCATGCAGAACTAATTTTATACACTGTTCATTTGATTTGAAAATGCCAGCGTCTGGGGTATGATTAAAGAGCGTTATTGAGGAGCCACTCTTGGCAGAGCTCTTCGTTAAAATTCTTAGTTCTTATGTCCCTGCAGAGTTATAGACTAGGTGGAGAAAGTATGCCTGAATCTACTCAAAGC